AATATGATCTTGGCTTGTTTGAAATGTGTGTTGAACAGCTTTGATATCCTGCTGGACTTCTGACTGGAGTTGGTCTACCATGAATCGCATTTCTGACACCAAGGTAGATTCCACCTTTTAGAGTTCAGCTGTAATCATTTGCTTCATAGCTTTAATTAACTTGTCTATTTCAGATTCCTCTTGTTGTTTGGTAGTGGTCAACAGAGTGAAAACTTGACTCTTGTTATCCTCAACTTTTGCAGCAAGGTCCGCGAGTTGATTTTTGTTTTGAGAAGAAGTGGCTTTCATTTCTTGGGTAAGATCATTCACTGTTTTTTCTTGCCTTTTCATGAAGTCAAATAAATTTTCCCAGTTCCCTTGTACCTGAGAAGTAAACTTTTGAATTTCTCTTCCAGGAGTTGGTAGAACGTTGGGTAGGTCGTGCTGTGCACTTGAAAGAGATCCTCCTTCGGATGATGTGCATAGTTGCATGTTAGCCACTTGTGGTGCCCAGGTGAGAGTTTGCACGGGAGTGCTGCCAGCCAGAACAGGAGAAGACATTAGCATATGGGACACAGGATGCATGGGGCTGAATGGAATATGGGTGTTATTCACTGCAGAGACCCCAGGCATCAGAGGTCACACTGCTGGTGGCCATACAGGAGTTGAGATATCTGGAGGGGACTCCATTTCTATGAAAGTGGATGGGGAAGGAGGGGTAGTCGACATATGTTGTGTTTGTGTGGGTGAAAGAAATGTTGGGCAGAAAATCAGTAAATGTAAAGGTAAATCAGTAATTGTATTTGTCAATAATTTCATGCACCACACTTTTCACAAAACACCCACATACAATATACAAATGGTTGGTAACCTTTTAAGCTTTCCCAAATTACACTCCCGTAAAAAAAAAAACACAGAATTTCCAAAAACACAACTGTTTTCTTTTAAGGGGAAAAAAAAAAACGTAACCCTTCAACAATTTACCATACGATGTCCAAGAGAAAAAAACGTGTTTGAAAAAGGTCATCAAAAAAGAAAAAGAAACAGTTAAAAACTTTATTTCACTTCACACGTGAAATTGAGATACTGTAACGCCCCTGTGGACTGTTTATTGTGGTTTCTTCCCCTTTTGTTGGTTTAGCCCATACTATCATTAGTTAATTACCTTCATTGTGCTCACCTGTCTGCCACTAATTATCCACCCTATATTAGTTCCTCTCTGTCTGAGCCTTAGTCGTCGGTTATTATGAATGTTACCCCGAGTGTGTGTGTCTCACCTTCCTGAATCTGCATTGTTGTCTACATTAAAAGTAATTATTGGAATCCTTCTTGTCCTCGTCGTCCTGCCTGCCTCCACACACCGTGACCGTGACAGATACATGAAGAAAAGTGCGTCATTCTATTATTTTCCACAGTGGCAGTTTCACGTCCACGTTCATTCATAAATTGACCATAGAAAGAGAGCGAAAAAGGAACATTAAATAAAAATTGTTCATATTTAAGAAAACAATAACAACATCAAACAACGGTCTTAAAGAGCAAAAGTAACATTTGCATAATTATGAAAATAAAAACACAGAATGTGCGGATGGGAATCTAATGTGAGTAGGTATGTGTGTAGTAATGTGTGAAATGGCGGCGGCGTACATGTAGGCTACTGACCAGGTTTGCAATCGTGAAGGAAACTGAAGAGTGTAGCGGGTCGTCGTCAGACACCGGGACAGGAGGATGAACAGGCAAGCTTGTTGTTGAAATATCCCACCAACACAGACGATCTTGAAGCGCCACGCTTAAAGTTTAGTCAAACTCCACGACGATCAAACATCACTCACAGGAAGCAATACTCAGAGCGGCCGTATTTCTACTCCTCCCGGGAATCCATTAACGCTCAACCATGCACCTGCAACCTTGCACGCAAACTTTCTGATGACGCATTTTTCTCAGGTATGTCACATCTCCTTTATATCCTCCACCCTTCCGCCGTTAATTGAAAACTCCGCCCCAATCACTCAAAGTGAAAACGAAAGTAAACCAAAAGATGTTGCGGCCCAAAGTTTTTGCACTGCCACAAATTATTTAAAATGTACTTTAAAACTTTTAATTTGAAACTTTCTACAAAGTGCACTTTTTAAAAGGGTACTCAAGTGTGTTAAAAACATAGTCACGAAAGTATACTCTCTTTAAGTACACTTCAGTGGCCTTTTATTTGTATTAATGTTATATTATATGTAAGTACAGTTTTTTGAAAATGTACTTTTAGGATGTGAAGTACACTACAAGTGCACATTAAATACAATACTTATTTTTCACAAGTATGGGAAAACGTATGAGAGCATCCATCAAATGTCCATAGGCTACACTTTCTTTCTGATTCCAAAGTGAAACAGTTATTTATTTATAATTTTATTTTTTTTGCACTATGTGTACTGACTTCACAAGCTCTCAGTCACCCCGAGGAAGTCATGCTATCGCGTTTTATGAATGGCAGTTCTTCAAGATTAGGATGGAAGACTTTTATGTTTCAAGTCCATATACACATACATGTGTTCTATGACAAGACTGAATAATGTTTCCACACACAAAAAAAAGCATTTCTCCAGCCTTAATGTGATTTTTGTTTCTTTAATTTTAATTTTTATTTTTTTTTAAATTTTGCTATTTCCACAGGGTGTCCTCCAATATTACACTCATAATCCAGGTCATTTAACTTTTTTTTTTTTTTCCCTCCTGTCACTGGACAGCCTTGCAAAAACTGTATTATATGCATTTAATTTGTGGTAAATTTGTTCACCACAGGGGTGAACACTGTTTTCAGTGACAGATCAACAAGGAGAGTGATCTGTCGTTTAGTCTGTGATGAGTTCATCAGGAGTATTCTAGGGCGCTCCTAGAATATCCAAGAGAAATATCATTATCATAGGAGTTTCATTTAGGATATTTCAGCGGTTCTGCTTGTACCTCTGAATAATTGAACAATGTTTGAACAATGTTTGAATAATCTGAACAATGGTTGCTTCACTGCAGTGTTCTTTCACAAATCCCATTGTATTGTGGCTGTGAGAAGGAAATATATTTCTGAAAAATGTGGGTTCAGATTAAGGACAAAGAAAGAAGTGGGCAACAACTGAGAGTCACCATTGCGCTGTGTGTGTGTGTGTATCAATGAGCTCTTTTTCTGCCATTGCCCGCTAGATGCTCATGATTGGGGGTGACCTGTCGGGTCATAAAGAGGGCATCCAGAGGTGGATGGTGGGGTAAATCAACACCCCACTTCTCCATGCAGCACTTAGAGAGACCCTCACTGACCACCCACACCAGACAGCATCAGCAGCTGATGGATAGCAGCTATCTGTCTCTATGGTGACATGAGAGTTCCTTTGCATGCCCTCTAAATATTTACTACACCAGCTCCAATCAAAGGACAATGTCACAAGAGCTCCATTGTACCCATAGAGAGAGAGAGGACATGGAGTCTGGTTGAGGAACGAAAGGTCAGTTATATCATACTAATTGCCATCATGTCACTTGGTTCCTCCTGATTCTTTTTTACAACCCCTAAAACCCTTCTTAATGATGTTGGCAAACTTTAAACATTTGAGAACCAGTTTAATGCTTGCTACTGTTATAAAACACTTTCCCATAGGAAAGAAACATCAAAAGTGAGATCTCTTTAACATCTCCTAGTCAGAAATGAGTTTACTTTAAGATCGAATGGAGATTTGTGCTTGAGTCTCCTGCTTCTCAAACGTGTTTCCTGAGACAAAAACTCTAACACTCTCACATTTGTCTCCTTTAAAGTTTTTGACGAGACCTCATCATCATCACACACTGTGCTCAGATTTGTCTCCTTAGCTAGAGACTCTGGATCCTATCATCTATCACACTAACACACAATTATGATCCCAAACACTCATCATATGTATTTTTAAGGTGATTAATGCGATCTACACTACTATCTACACCAGGAGAGTAACAGTTATACTAAACATGTGACATGTATTATTAAACAGTCAGCATGTTGAAAGCAACACACGCAACACACTGGCAGGAATTTCATTCAGAACATAGTGACGTCTGCTTGATAATATAATATATAATGTACATTAAGATTTTGCAGCATTCTGCTTTAACCATGTAGAGCTATTTTGCAATATATAACATACCTGTATGTGTGACACATAGTTGCAAAAATAAACTGTCTGGTAAGCAGGAATACTCAAATAATCATATGTATGAAAATTGCAGTACTTTAAAGCCTTTATTGATATGTGACAATATAAGCCATCATATTTGGTTATCATGAGGATTTGTCTCAAGGCACCTGATCCATATAACAAGTGATGTGTTTTTTTCTCACACATGGATCTATTATTTGAACTACAATAACCAGGCAGTGACCCTGAATCCTTCAAAAGTGAAATGGCTTTATTGTAGTTCTACTGTACCTCGCCCCGATGGCTTATCTGATGCTCTCGTTTTCATATATCCAGTACAGGTCATCTCACAATACATCCAAAGCTATAATACATCTCAGTTATTATATTTATTTTCAATTAATTCTGTTGTTCTTAATTGTTATTTTTAATAGCTTACATACAAGTATGTTCAATTAAAAAAAAAATGTATTTGAGTTGTTTAAAAAAATTCATTTTGCATGTGCACATTGCAACACAGGCACACTCTGACTCCATGTCGCAGGTGGAGGTGTGAAGATTTCTGGAAGCTTTTTGTGAGACTTTTGTGGCAGAGATCCAAACTAAATATTTTCTAACATACACACACACACACACACACACGCACACACACACGTTCACAGCACTTCACGGGGTGCTGATGGGCCAAAGGGCTTCCCTACTCACTGTATGTGTATGTGTTTTCAGATAAATGCTAGAGATAATGGCAGGTCTTTTTCTGATCATCTTTTCCTAGATCTTATTAAAAGGTTAAATGGTTAAAAAGCATTTCCCCCTGAATGTTGATGAAGTCACTGGGGAGTAAAGAGAAGAGCATGTGTGCTTACAGTGTGTCTGACTTTGTTCATCCTACACACTTTTCTCTGCTGCTTTGATGGGGAGATGTTTGAGTGTGTGTGTGTGTGTGTAAAGGGGTGGTCAGGAACACTATGTCTGTTTCGTGTAAAGATCTGAGACGCAGAGAGGAGGGCATGTGTGCCGGTAGGGCAAACTCATTCAACATGGACTCTATTATCAGCTCAGCATAACGCTGCAGTTAATGCCTGTGCGAATATTTGTGTGTCTACAACAAACAAATTTCAGTTAACTATAGTCAAACCCAAACGTCTGGACGGATTTAAATAGGCCGTCGTCATAACAACAATAAAAATGAAAAATTCTGCAAAAGTATCTGCAAAAGTATAGAGGCAAAAATGTAAAATTAAACATTATACCAGGTATTGGTGATATTTTGATTATTGTTTTCTCTGGACCTGAATGGGAAGTTAAATGCCTTAAACTTTTGCTTTACCTTCGATTTTGTTCCCCTGCTGAAATGTTTGCTTTCTTAATGTCTTCAGTTAATCCTAATGAGGCTGATTTGGGTGGAGGTGT